GCCATCTTCTACTGCTTTCCCAGGCCATAGTAGAAAACTGGATGGGAAGTGGAGCAGTCGGGACTCAAACTGGTGCCCATTTGGAATGCTGGAACTGAAGCCGGCGGCTTTACTACCTATGCCACAGCACCAGCCCCATATTCTTTTGATGTCTTATTTGACTTGATTATCAAGGTGATGCTAGCCTAAGAAAATGAATTGGAAATTTTTTTCTTTTGTTTTCTGGAAGAGTTTGTGAAGCATTAATAAGATTTTTGATTTAAGAGTTTGATATGATTAACCAATGACACATCATCTGGGCTTCATTTTATCTTTGTGAAATTATTTGCAATGACTCATTCAATTTCTTCATTGAACCTTTGTATTTTGTATTTTTAAAATTTTGTATTTTAAACTTTATATTTTGTATTTTTAAACTAACAGATACACAAAGTATAAAGTACTGATTGAGTACTAGTTTTGCCATTAATTCTCATAGTACAACACATGAAGGACAGAGATTCTACATGGGGAATAAGTGCACAGTGACTCCCACTGTTGATTTAACATTGACACTTATTTATGATATGATGTCAGTAATCACCCAAAGTTCTTGTCATGAGCTGCCAAGGCTTCAAGTTGCTATGGAAGCCTTTGGAGTTCACTAACTCTGACCTTATTTAGACAAGGCCATAATCAAAGTGGAAGTTATCTCCTCCCTTCAGAGAAAGGTATCTCCTTTTCTGATGGCCTGTTCTTTCTACTGGGATCTCACTCACAGAGATCTTTCATTTAGGTCATTTTTCTTGCCACAGTATCTTGGCTATCCATGCCTGAAATATTCTCATGGCTTTTAGCTGGATCCAAATGCCTTAAAGGCTGATTCTGAGGCCAGAGTGCTTAAACTATAATTTCAATAATTTGTTCTTTCTAGGAATTTGTCCACTTCACTGAAGTTGTCAAATTTGTTGGTATAAATCTATTCCTAGTGAATGTTACCAACACACATGAAAAAATTATAAATGCCTCAGGTGATAAGTATGCTGACTACTGTGCCCTGATAGTTACAAGTTATAAACATAGTTTGAAATGTCACATTATGCATCATAAATATGTATAATTATTAGGTGTCAATTAAAAATAAAAACATATTTTTAAAAAAGATGCATTTCACAGGGCTAGGAATATTCATGAAATACATTAATGATTAATGAAATCTTAATTGTAAAATACTGAGTATGTTGTAGGGAAAAACAATTCCTGGTATTCATTTATGCTGTTTTTAATTCCTGTGAGGTCAGCAATGATGACCTAACATAATTTCTGATATACACTGATATATATTGAGAAAGCAATGTATATAAGTGTATATCAGAAATAATAGATGATTTTCTAGAACCTTCTGGTGAAAGCTTAGTGGGTTTTTAAATACTTAAATTTTTAACCAATATTCAAAAAATTATACAGAGTTGCTGAGTACCATGTGATGTTTTGATATATGTATGCATTGTGTAATGTTCAAATCAGAGTGAAAATATCTACTCTTCAAACATTTGTCATTTCTGATGTTCAAAATCCCTCATTCAATCTTTCTTTTATTACAAGAAAATATAATACATTACTATTATCTATTGTTATTCTACTGTACAATAGAACACTGAAGCTTACTTCTCCTCACAATAACCTGGCACCCATTAATCAAACTTTTTGTATATTTCCCTTCTGCTAACCACCATTCTATTCCCAACTTCTATGAAATTAACTTATCGATTTGAAATTTTTCTTTTCAAAGTCTTTAAAGCTATAACTTTCGATTCGATAACTTTTTAAATAAATTTTCACTAATATAAAAAGAACAGCATTCAGCAGATAAAATTCTAAGATACCCGTATTTCCCTCCCTGCCTCTCACAATCCCACTCTTTTCCTTCCTTCTCTTTTTTTCCTTTAACTTTCCATCCAATCATCCTTGTAGATACATCCTGTAAAATATGTTGTTATTTCATCCAGTTTATAATATTTTCTAATTCTTATGATTTCTCTGACTAGTAGATTACTGAGAGGTACATTGTTCAGTTTCCAAATATTTCTCCATTTCACTTTGTGGACCACGAATGATGAATCAGTGTTTATGCCTATGTACTTTCAGCGAATTTTATCTTCTGCTGTTTATCGGTGGATCCATGTGTGAGTTAACGAGAATTTTCAAGGTTCAGGCAACTGTCAAGTGTGTCCAGCTTTTCTTTCTCTGGTGTTCAAGGTGTCATATTTAGCTAGGGATCCATAGGTAACTAAGACCTTACCAGGTTCCCCTGGAATGCAGGCACTAGGCCTTCCAGACCACCAGGGATGCATAGGAGCTTATCAAAGCCCAAATCTGCCTGTTGAATGTTTGGCTGGACTTCTAGCCTGATGCTTGGCCCAAATGACATCACAATCTCCAGCCAGCTGCTGTGTTAAATGGTCCTGATTACCACCAATACTGCAATTGTTTTCATTGCCCCTGGACAACGGTTTTGCCAAAATCATCCCTGTCCGGCAATGAAGTTACCCATCTTCACAGCTTGTTCTTCTCTGTGAGAACCAGTACTCAAGGGAGCTGAATTATCCCAACCTAAATGCCACAGGTGCCCAATGTTCCACCAAGGTTTAGTAGTTTCTGTTGAATAAAGGCTTCCCAAATTGTTGTAAGCCTTCAGTCAACATTCAGAGTCCTGAAATCGTTGCTTGTACAACTTTCGTTTCTTATTGCTGCTTTTTAGGAAGAGAACGTACAAAGGTCTTCCCTCAATCATTCCAGAAGTTGTCATCTAACTTTTCTCTTATATTTTTAAAAAAGCTGTTTTGTCACTTTGTGCCAGTTTGAGGGGAAAATGTTTGGCTCTATTTTCTAGTCTCCAGCCAAGTACTTTCTTCTTTTCATCTTCTGTTTTGATTGCTTTATAGCGTGACTCAGGGGTGGGGTTGAAGGAGTAGCAATTGCATGTATGCATGTGTATGTGTGTGTTCAATTTATAACATTTCTCCAGTGCTTTCCCTTTTTGTAATCCTGTTCTCACTTTATACTGAACATCCTCTTGAAGCCCTGGAGGTAGACTTTACAACTTCTCTTTTGTTTTCTGATCTTTGTTTCCATGAGTTTTTAATCTTCAGGTTAACTCATTTGCTGCCTCTTTATTCATATTGAATGTAACTGTCTCTTCCAGTAGCAATAATGTTAGTACCCACTCCAGTCTCAAAGGAACAATTTTATTCTTTCCTTACACATCCTTTGCAAATCATGGCACAGGCCCTCAACCCCCACCATAGGAGCTCCTCTGAAAGCCTGCAGTGCAAAGCTTATCTCAGACTTCATTGCTGAGAAGCTATCTGCATAGGCTGATCTTTGTGTGGCAAAGGCCACTTACCCGACAACTTCCTGAGATCTCTAGGAACTTCCATGTTACCGCGAGTATTCATATAAGTGCAATAAGAAGCTAGACTTCTTTTTTTCCTAAACAAATAGGACAGGTGCTAATTCCCAGAACAATATGGAATAGTCCATTAGAAACAGAAATTCATGTAACTTTTTAAAACAGCTTGCTATATCTTCAAAACAATATCATGGGGTGGGTCGGTCTATTTTGGATACAGTATTACATAAGCTTGTGATCCACTTTTAAATTTTTTTACTTTTTTATTTGAAAGGCAGATAGATAAACAGAATTCTAATCCACTGATTCACTCCCAAAATGCCCACAAGGACTGGGGCTGAGCTGGGCTTGAGCTAGAACAAGGGAACTCAAACCAGTTCTCCTACATAAGTGGGTGGTAGAACCCAATAATTCGAGCCATCACTGCTGCTTCCCAGGGTCTGCGTAAGCAGGAAGCTGGAGTCAGGAACCAGATGCAGGCATCAAACCCTGGCACTCTAATGTAGGATATAGGTATCCCAGCCTAAATCTTAACTACTAGGCTTAGCTTTTTCCACCATTTTTAAGATGAGGTGCTTTGGCCAGCACCGTGGCTCAATAGGCTAATTCTCCGCCTGTGACGCCGGTACTCCAGGTTCCAGTCCTGGTTGAGGCGCCAGATTCTGTCCTGGTTGCTCCTCTTCCAGTCCAGCTCTCTGCTGTGGCCCAGGAGTGCAGTGGAGGATGGCCCAAGTGCTTGGGCCCTGCACTTGCATGGGAGCCCAGGAGAAGCACCTGGCTCCTGGCTTCGGATCAGTGCAATGCGCCAGCCGCAGTGGGCTGGCCACAGCAGCCACTGGGGAGTGAACCAATGGTAAAGAAAGAACTTTCTCTCTGTCTCTCTCTCTCTCACTGTCCACTCTGCCTGTCAAAAAAAAAAAAAAAAATAAAGATAAGGTACTTTGATAGACATCCCAAAAAAACTAGTATTCTGTAGAATGCATTTTGGAAAAAGCTGATATATGTAATATATATTTTGTTTATGATAAAGTCTATTATCAATCATTAACAATATTACACTAATTCACAATAGTACAGATTAGACCAAAGGTTGCAAACTGTTCACCTAGCCCCACAAAATGGTTGTGATTAGAACTGTAACACTGAAACTGATCCACCATTATAAGTTCAAACGTAAACTTTAGGTATTATGGAATGCGGCAGTATATTTTATTTATTTATTTATTTGACAGATAGAGTTAGACAGTGACAGAGAGAGAGACAGAGAGAAAGGTATTCCTTCCATTGGTTCACTCCCCAAAAGGCTGTGCCGATCCGAAGCCAGGAGCCAGATGCTTCCTCCTGGTCTCTCATGCGGGTTCAAGTGCCCAAGTACCTGAGCCATCCTCCACTGCCTTCCCGGGCCACAGCAGAGAGCTGGACTGGAAGAGGGGCAACCGGGACCAGAACTCAGCACCCATATGGGATGCCGGCACCACAGGCAGAGGATTAACCAAGTGAGCCATTGTGCCGGCCCCCGAATGCGGCAGTATTAATTTCTCAATGAAAGCCAGCAAACAATTTGTAGGTTTTACATGATAAGACACGTTCTGACTTATGCCTGATAAAACGTCTAACAACTAAGTCTAAGTTCCATAGACCAAAAGTTAAATTATTCTTCATATTTGTTCCAAGGTGCCAGGATTCCAGGAGGAAATAAAACTCAATTTCAAAAACAAACTTTACAGTTTAAAATGAGAACAAGCCAGCTTTTCTCTTGTGTACAAAGGGCTATTTCCAAGCAAGAGTGAAATTAAACAGCTTGTCGAAGGATGTCATTAACAGTTGATGTAGGACATTTGTTGAACAAATATCTAAGTATGACGCCTCCACGTGAGACCCTTGACCTCAAGCATCCAATTGTCTTATTGAAAAGCTGTGAAAATAAACCAAAGCAGGTTGCAAGGAATGCCTTGTGAGCCAGAGGATTTCAGGTAAGAGAAGAGGAATCTCTAACTAAGATGAGTAGAGAAAGCCTCCTGGTACAGATAACATTTGAACTGCACTTTGAATCATAGCATCAAACAACCAGAGACTCTTGGGTTTGGGGACCCCAAGGAGCAAAGATCCTTAAGTTTTGTAGCAAACCTAGATTCCAGGCTATATATAGCTTAGGTAAAGAACATGAACTAAAGCTGAAATGGTTGCAAATATTGGGGCCACGTGAACTAAAGATTGCTTGCCTTGTCTAAAGGAATCTATCTGTTTTTACCACTAATGTTGCCAAAATGGAATGCAGACCCAGTGCTGCTGTATTTTCTGAGTGTTTCTCTGCAAAGAAAATCAAAATAAGCTTTCTGACTTTTACATGAAGCTACTGATTCATAAATATTGACAATTAAATCTATCTGTGTTATAGCATTGTACGGGCGACAAAGGGCCATCATCTACTGGTTTGCTACTTCCTCTTTAGATCATATGCCTCAGCACTTGCTCCCTGAAAAATCCTGGGATCCCCTGTGACTTCTCCACCATATTGTCATCCACCTTCGGCTTCAACTCCTTCTGTCATGGCAATTTTAATCTTGGCAAGGTAAGTGAACTACTGGAACATTTTTCCTTATATTTCCCTAAAATTGTCCTAGTTCTCCTTATGTTCTACAGAGTTCTACATAGGCTGCTTAAAGTATCGGACAGTAGGGATTGGCATTGTGGTATAATGGGTTAAGCCACCACACACAGTGCCAACATCCCATATGGGTGCTGTTTGGAGTCCTGGCTGCTCCACTTCCAATCCAGCTTCCTGCTAAAGTGCCTGGGGAAGCAGAGGAAGATGGCCCAAGTCATTGGGCCCCTGTACCCTTGTGAAAGACCCAGAGGAAGCTTCTGGCTCCTGGCTCTGGCTAGCTGTGGTCTTTTGAGTAGTGAACCAGGGGATGGAAGATCTGTCTCTAAATATCTCTCCTCCACTCTCTCTGTAACTCTACCTTTCAAATAAATAAAATAGATTTTTTTAAAAAGGATCTGACAACAGTCATTATGTTCCTAATAAACTTTGTCCAGTTCTTTCAGTTTTTATTCAATTATAATCGTCTCAAGTTTCTTATCGCCTAGGTTACCTTCATCATGGTGGACTCAATGTTCTGTTTCCTTCAGTGCATAGTACAAAGTCCTAAATGAAGTGGTCAAGGGGAAGAAGGAATAGTAGCACCCTTGTTTGGGTTATTATAGATTACATCAGTTAGATACAAGGGCACAGAGCTAAAGTCACCCTTGATGTTCTAAGTAGAAGGGATTTATATAGTACAAAATTATTAGAAGAGCTGATCTAACAGGAGACAGAGAACCATGACTGGAGGAACTTCCAACCCGTTTTCTAATTTAGCTATACCATTTTAAATTCCTACCAGCAATGTATGAGAGTTTCAGTTTCTTTACAATTTTAGCAACCTGTGACAGTATCCATCTTTGCTTTTGAATTCTCATATTTTAAAAGCATATAAACCCATGAGAGGTCTTCAAAAATGTCATAAAACTGTGTATTATGAAAAAACTATGAATGGATTCCATGGCCCTTATTGTAAAACCATAGGAAGATGGCTAAAGTCTTCTTGTTATTCTGTCAATATTTTTAAGAGAAGTGGTATTGAACTGATGATTTAATTGCCATTATAAAAATAAAACCACAGTAACTCAGTCCCTTTCAACTACAAGGAGCTGTCTCATCCAAGGTTTTGCCCCAACACAGTGGCATCCTGTGGCCAAAAGTTGGCTTATGCATAGACAAAAGGCATGGCTCCTTTTTCTTCATTTGGGGGCATTTCTGTTGTCATCCTAGCAACAGAGCTTCCTATAGGATTACTGAGGCTTTAGTTGCAATTGCGCTGAAGGTTTGCTTCTTCCTCTGCCCAAGCTTGTTTTCTGCATATCCTTAGAAAAGTATCTCCTCAGAGCTTTTACTAATAAACATTCTGTACAAAATTACAGAATTTTCTGACAGTTTGCTAACAAGAAGTAAATCCAAGATATTTAGCCTTTCTAGATCCTAATCCCATTAAATGGAAGTAATAAAACCTTCCTAATCTAATTGCATCAGTGGAAATACATCATTCCAAGGCTGGCTTTGTGGCATAATGGGTTCATCTTAGCCTGCAGTGCTGGCATCCCATGTGGGCTCTGGTTCGAGTACTGGTTGCTCAATTTCTGATTCAGCACTCCCTGTTAATGTGCCTGGGAAAGCAGTGGAAGATGGCCCAAGTGCATTGGCCCCTGCGCCCAAGTGAGAGAAATGGATGAAGCTTCTGGCTCCTGGCTTTGGCCTGGCCCAGCCCTGACCATTGAGGCATTGAGGCCATTTGGAGTATGAACGAGGGTTTGGAAGCTCACTGGCTCTCTCTCTCTCTCTTCCTTTCTCTCTCTCTCTTTCTAACTCTGCCTTTCAAATAAATAAAAGAAATCTTTCAAAAACAAAAGAACTATGTCATTCTTTGGAATTCGTTTCTAGGTTTAATAAATTGGTAGGGATTAAAAACTCTCTCCCAAGTTAGAAACTTAAAATGCTAAGTAGTTACTTTAATTAGCATTTAATTAGCATTTTTGCCCTGACAATAGATTCAAATGTTGTTGACTCTCCAGTGTCTCACAACACCATTTTCTCAGCAACAGATGGGGCAGTAGTAATAGCAATGGATAAAATCCCTTGAAGCATAATGGTGGTGGTATTAATGGTGCAAACAGTTATTGTAAGGTGCATTTCCTAAATAAAAGTTGACTGTGATATACAAAAATCTAGTTCTTTTAGTAGCTACAGAATTTCTTAGAATAGTTTATGTAGTCATGAGTATTGCTTCAAGTACCATAGTCTTAAATTTGGTTCTGCCAGCCTCCAATAGTTTTGAGATCTACCATAAGAGGTAGACCTCTTATAATAATCATTTTTATGCTAATTGTAAAGAGTGTTAAATAACGTGTAAACTAAATACATGGTAATTGCTCAATACACTGCACACACCATTATTTTTTGGCCTTTCTGGTGGTTATGTACTTTTCAAATCATGATTTTGGTCATTGTGAGGAGCAATTGAGTTAATAACCTAAAAGCAGTAATACAGGAACTTACACATAATAATTACTCTGTGCATGTTTGTTATTAACATTATTGCACTTTAATCACAGGATCTTCCATGTGCACTACATTGTTAACTCGGGTATGAGAATTTGGGGTTTGAACCGAACTATGAAGGCTTTTTCTTGACAAGGTGTGAGAAGTAGGATCATAACCCATGTTCCCAAGGGAGGCCTGATTTACCATTGTCAACTGGTATTTTGGTGCCAACTCATGCTTATTGGTGTCTATTCCATGCATTTCAAACTAGAAGCTTTATAAGAAAGAAAATGTATCTCACTGCTTACTCTAAAGACGTTAGGGGTTATGTCATCAGGTGCCATTGAAAAGATGCAGATGATCTCAAAGTACATTCACATCAGCACTCATCAGGAAAGCCTACGTGCTTTCTATGCGTTCAGTGTTGCCATAAAGGGCTGCCTGGGATTCTCACTGTTCTTCACTTCACCACAAGAAAAGTTATTTAGAATTCTTTGCAGAAAACTTTGCAAATCAAACATTTGGAAGTTGTCACTTTGATGATTGGTGTCCTAGATTTCACAAAGAAAAACTTTTCTATTTCCTGGAAAATGCTTTACATTTATTCTTGCTTCACACAGATCTGAATTTGCACAGACACAAACTTCTTCAAGGTCAGGGCAACAATCTCCAACATGAGCCTGTATCAGAACACGATTCAATCAGTCTTCATTTTCAATTATGTGAACAGGCAAAAAATCCTGCTCAATTAAAGCAGAGGAAGAGAGCCTCTCCAGATTCAATCTGCTTGTCTGAACACTCAAGCTGAGTGTATGCATGAAGAAGTGATTTTAAGTATGTTTACTCTGCTTAGCAGTGGAGCTTTCGATCATCAAATGTGTTTTCAGAAATATTAATATCCTGAAGTACAAAGTAACTAAATATTTTACATATATCTTAAGTGTAAGATGTTGCATATGCTTTGAATGTGGTATGCTTATTTTCTCCAACCAAGTAAATGTTTGAAATGAAGAAACAACAGAACATTTTGTTCTGCTTCCTTTATTTGGCAAGTAAAGTAAAGCCTTGGTTTGTCCAGTGAAGGGTGATAAGGCTGTTTGGGGTTAAGAAACCCATGGTTGTTATTTATTTAAGGTACATTCAATGAAGAGAGTATCCATACTAAAGCTGGCATTTAACCATCATTTGTCCAACACCTAAGTCTATCTATATTAATTGAAAACTCAAGGAGGAAAGAGTACAGTTTTGTTTTCCCAACAATCCCCAACACCAAGGTTCCTGATGACCTCATTGAACTATTGAATGAACCAGCTTCAGATCTGTCCTACCTCTGGACCCCTTGTGTTTTTATATCTTATAGATTTATTTTATTTATTTGAAAGGCAGAGTGACAGAGAAGGAAGAAAAGTCAGAGAGAAAAAGAGATCCTCTATCCATTGGTTCACTCCCCGAATGGATATAACAGCCAGGGCTGAGCCAGGCCAAGGCCAGGAGCTTAGAACTCCATCCAGGTCTCCCATGTGGATGGTAGGGGCCCAATCACTTGAAACATCTTCTAGTTCTCCCAGATGCATTAGTAGCAAGATGGATCAGAGGTGGAACACCAGGACTCAAATGGACACTCCAATATGGGCTGCTGGCATCCTCTTCATGCCACAACCATGGCCTCATGGACTTCTTGCTTTGTGAAAATAAGCTCCTCGTTGCTTAAGCACTGGAAGCAAGTGAACTGATATGCTTAGCATTCTTCTGTACCGCTCCCCATGCTCTCCTCACTTTCCTGGTTTTAAAATATCATATCCAGCCTAGACTTCTACCCCTCCTACTTTTTTATCCATTCAAATATTTATTGAATATCTTCTGTGTTTGAGGCCTCATGCTTCCAATAGGACATTCTGTTCAAGAGGATCTACTGTTCAGGTGGGGGTAGGGGACAGTAGTTCCAAAGTATATTGGGGAAAAATGGGAGGGTCCTAGTGAGTGTCTGGATGGCCCTTGGTGGGGTGATGAGGAAGAAGATGTTTGGCTGCTGAAAACAGTAGAGTGAGGGGACACTCAGTCTTTCAGATTAGAAGTTCAGCGTTGTCATCGCCTTTTCTCCCCTTCAGTCTGTCTAATCTGTCTCTTCCTCCTATTATTTTCAATATCACTTTAAAATTATATCAGTCCTGGGGTTCAATCTTTCAGTAATTCCACCTGTGACCCATATTACCTTGGTGGCACAGTAATGGGATATTATTTGTGGAAGTAAGTATGGATGAAAAGACAGAAAGATTGTAGATAATATCCAAGTTCCTTAGTGTGGCATAGAAGATCCTGCCTCATCTCTCTTGCAAATCTCATCTCCTATCTACTTTTCCCCTCCAAGAGAGTCAAACGCAACATAGTTAATTGTTTTTTTCCCTAAATGAGTCAGGCTGGCATCAGATGGATGTTGGTGGAATGAAGGTTGTTCAATAAATAGCTGCCTGGGCTGCAAAGCCATGTGT